AAAAAAAAAAAAAAAAAAGAATAATTATATAATAATATATATGTACTTATATATATATATATATATATATACTTATTTATATACAGTATTTCTTCTTATAATTAATAGTACTATATTTGTATATAAATAAATTTATTTAAGGAAAAAAAAAAAGACAAAATATTAATATTACCTTATATACAAGAGGGGAGTGCATGCATCTGCTGCAGCTAATGTAGTAGTTGCTATAGCGCATGCATATAGTATAGCATATTTTGCTGCTGCTCCTTCTTTGACGCATGCAGCAGCATTACAGCAGATGCTGCAGTTGCTGCAGTTGCTGCAGTTGCTGCAGTTGCTGCAGTTGCTGCAGTTGCTGCAGTTGCTGCAGCGCATGCAAGAAGAGCAACAAAAGGAAGAAGGAAGGAAGTACGATGGGGCTGCTGTGGGGCTGGCTGCTGCTGGTAATAGGGCTAAAGGTATATCAATCTGCATCTTTTTTTCTCCTTTTTATGAATAAATAAATAAAAATAATGTATTTAATTTATTTAAAGGAAGAGACGCAATGAAAACAGAGGCAAATTGCCCTGTTTAGAGCGCCGTGCTTCCCTTTCTTCTTTATTCCCCCACAGCTAACTAACTATTATCCATCAGCTGTTTCTGTTGTGTTGCCTCCTTCTTGTGTTTATTTTACGTATTTTCTTCTTTTTTTTTCTTAATTAATTATATTTTTATAATTAATTAATATTTTATTCCTTTTTTATTCACAATGACCGCAGAAAAAGAAACAAACCCTAAGGCATACCCTCTTGCCTCCCCCGAGCTTACTAACACTATCTTGGATACAGTGCAGCAAGCATGCAGCTACAAGCAGCTCAAGAAGGGAGCTAATGAAGGTAAGCTAACCTCCTGCTGCTGCTGCTGTTGTTGCTGCTGCTGCTGTTGCTGCTGTCGCTGCTGCTGTTGCAGCAGCAGAATGGTCGGCAAGCATGCAGGAGAACGATCAGATATATTCGCACAGATGCTGCAGACCTAGGAACACCAGCAGCAGCAGCAGCAGCAGCAAGAGCAAGAGCAACAGCAGTACAAGGATATATAGCAGCAGCAGCAGCAGCAGCACCATTGGCTCTTTAGTATTCCTCAGACATATGGTTGCTGCTGCTGTTGCTAATATTGCTGCTGCTGCTGTTTCTAATATTGCTGTTGCTGCTGCTGCTAATATTGCTGCTGTTGCTGCTGCTGCTGCTGCTGCTGTGCTGCAGCAACAAAAGGATTAAATAGAGGATTAGCTGAGTTGGTGGTCTTAGCAGCAGACGCGGAGCCATTGGAGATTTTGCTGCACCTCCCTCTTGTATGCGAAGATAAGGTATGTATATACACTATAACTGCAGCAGCAGCTGCTGCTGCTGCTGCTACTCTTTCTGTACATCTAGCTACCTTCCCTCTTCCTCTTCCTCCCCCTGCTGCTGCTGCTGCACTAGGAGTTGTGCCTTACACTTCCTGCTGCTGTTCTTTCTGCCCCATCCCTAGCCCCTTATTTTTTTCCTTTTCCCTCCCTTATGCAACTTTTCCTGCTGCTGCTGCTGCTGCTGCTGTTGCTGCTGCTGCTGTTGCTGCTGCTGCTGCAGAATGTCCCCTACGTGTTTGTTGAATCTAAGGTATCCTTAGGCCGTGCATGCGGTGTATCCCGACCTGTTATTGCATGCTGTATAATTAGTAAGGATGGTAGTGCACTTAACCCACAAATAGCTGAATTAAAAAATAATATAGAGGCTATGCTTATTTAATTTATTTTATTTATTTCCTCCTGCTGCTGCTGCTGCTGCTGCTGCTGCTGCTGCTGCGGTGGTGGTGGTGGTGGTGGTATAGTGTACGCGCTGCTGCTGTGGTTATAATGATGGGTTATACGGCATAGCAGCAACACGCAGTTGCTGCTGCTTAATATGCAGCAGCAGAGGCAGCAGCAGCAGCAAATGCTGCAGCAGCAGATGCTCTTGCAGAAGATGGGTGCTGCTGCTGCTGCTGCTGCTGCTGCTGCTGCAGTTGTACCACCACATGTGGGTATGGGATATACTGGGTAGCTGCTGTTTAATAGCAGCAGCAGCAGCAGCAGCAGCAGCAACAGCAGCAGCAGCAGTTTCAAGGGAAACTTCCTTGGGGTTTTGTCTAGCTGTTGCTGCTGCTGCAGCAGCAGCAGCAGCAACAGCAACTCCTTTGTTTGCATGCGAATACTTTGTTCAAGCTATAAATGAGTCAATAAACCTTTATAGTTACGATTAGGGTTTAGGGTTTGCTAGGGTTTAGGGTTTGCTAGGGTTTAGGGTTTGCTAGGGTTTAGGGGTTTTGTTAGATATATATACTAGGGTTTAGTGCATGCATGCATGCATGCATGCGTAGGTTGCTAAACCCTAATAGTACTAATTTATTATTATTTGTGTATATTACCTTAATTTAGGGTTTAGGGTTTAGGGTTTATAAACCCTAAACCCTAATGCTAGGGTTTAGATAAGAAATTTATTAAGAAAGGGTCATACATAACCCCTTGGGGTGTACGTCCGTCAAGCTATTGAAAGGCTGCTGCTGCTGCTGCTGCTGCTGCTGCAGCTGCTGCTGCTGCAGCTGCAGCAGCAGCTGCTGCAGCTGCAGCAGCAGCTGCAGCAAAGCAAACTACGTGCTGCTGCTGCAGCACAGCAAACAGCGTACTACTACTGCAGCAAAACAAACAATGTGCTGCTGCAGCAAACAACTTGCTGCTGCAGCAAAGCAAACAACTTGCTGCAGCAGCAAACATGCTGCAGCAGCAGCAATAGGCTACGACATCCAAACACCGCCGCACAGGCTGCGGCTTGCTGCTGTTTGCTGCTTGCTGCTGGGGTCTACTTCAGCAGCAGCAAATCAGCTGTTATAGAAGCAGCAGCAGCAGCAGCAGCTTATTGCTGCTCCTGCTGCTGCATTCCGCACTTGCTGCTGCGGACACGAGTCCCTGCTAAGGTGTACATACACCCGACAGTTTGCTGCTGCGGGGTCTGCAAGAAGGCTATGGAGCAGCAGCAGCAACAGCAGCAGCAGCAAATGCTGCTGCAACTGCTGCTGCTGCAACTGCTGCTGCTGCAACTGCTGCTGCTGCAACTGCTGCTGCTGTTGGCCTACGCCCCGTAAACTACATCAACATCAATTGCTGCTGCTGTTCCTTCGTAACGCCAAGAGCAGCAGCAGCAGCTGCTGCAGCAGTAGAGGCTGCTGCTGCTGCTGCTGCTGCTCGTCCCTCCTGTGCAGCAATTGCTGCCATTGTTGCTGCTGCTTCCCTCAGTTCTGCATGCGTCGCCTCTTCTGGAAGGAGATGCTGCTGCTGCTGCCAGTTTTAATGAAGGTGCTGCTGCTCTCAGCAGCAGCTGCTGCACTGCTGCTGCTGTTGCTGCTGCTGCTGCTGCTGCTGCTGCTGTTGCTAATAATAATAAAGTCATTGGCTCCAAGGCTGCTGCTGCGGCGAGGGCGGCCGCGCGAACGCTTGACGGGTACAGCTGAGGGCTCTAGTTCCATGCTGCTGCTGCCGCTGCAGCAGCTGCTGCTGCTGCTGTTGCTGCTGCCGCTTCTAGTGTACAGTAAGCCTTGGGTCCCTTGATTTGCTGCTGGTGATATACCTTGACTTGCTTCCTCTCCTGCTGCTGCTGTTGCTGCTGCTGCTGCTGCTGCTGCTGCAGAGACAGGTGTTGTTTCTTTTTGCTCCTCCTGCTTCTGCTGCTCCTGTTTCTGTTGCTGCACCTGCTGCTGTTGCTGCTGTTCCTGTTTCTGCTGTTCCTGTTGCTGTTGTTGTTCCTGTTTCTGCTGTTGCTGTTCTTCCTGTTTCTGCTGCTGCTGTTGCTGCTGCTGCTGCTCTTCCCGCTTCTTCTCCTCTGAATTTTCTGCTACAGCAGCAGCATCATGACCATCATCAGCAGCAAACGGACTTGGTGCTGCTGCAGCAGCAGCAGCAGCAGCAGGTGCAGCAACAGGAGCAGCACCAGGGAACTCTGCAGCATATTGCTGTGGGGTAAGTGTCTGTGTCTTGAGGAAGCAATGAACAAATGCAGCAGCAGTTCCTCTTGCTATGCTGCTAGCAGCAGCAGCAGCAAAAGAGAGGCAGCACTCAGCATTGTGCTGCTGCAGCAGCGACGGTGCATTTAGTTCTTCCTGCAGCAGCAAATGATGTAGATAGCAGCGGCTCTCTTTTACGCAGGATGTATACCCTATATGCTGCTGCTGCTGCTCCTGCTGCTGCTGCTGCTGCTGCTGCTGTTTTTCTGCTTCGTCTGCATCCATTTCATCTTCTGTATCGCCTGGTACTCCCGTTGCTGTTGAGCTGCTGCTGCTGCTGCTGCTGCTGCTGCTGCTGCTGCTGCTGTAGCTGCAGCTGCTAGGTGTACCGTCTATACACCTGGTGTCATCCCTATACAAAGAAGACATTAAATTTAGCTGCCTATACAGCCGAAGGTGTTCGTGTGGCAGCTGCTCGAGCTGCTGCAGCGCGAGCAGCACGTCTCCCTGCTGCTGCTGCTGCTGCTGCAGTTCTGCAGCAGCAGCAGCAATTTCTTCCTCTGATGGTATACCAAAGCTCCATGCTATTCCTGCTGCTGCGCTGCTGCCGCTAGCAGCAGCACCACCCTCTACTATGTCTGCACCCAGCAGCAGCGCATGCAGCAGCTCAAGGGGTCCTGCTGCTGCATGCACAGATACCACGCGCAGCAGCGGCCGCTCTGGTGCCGGTGCTGCTGCTGCTGCTGCTGCAGCAGCAGCAGCAGGAGAAAGCTCATGTGCTGCTGCAGCAACAAGCTGTCTCCTTTGCAGCAAAGGAGTTGCTGCCTTGCATGCACCTGATATATGAATACCTCCTACTAGGCCTGCAGGTGCAGCAGCAATTAGCTGCTGCAGCGCAGCAGCAGCAGCACGAACACCTTCTATGCTGTCTGTACACCGTAGATGTGCTACCAGATGAGGGACAACAACAGGAGGAGGCTGCTTCTGCTGCTGCTGCTTCTGCTGCTGCTGCTGCTGCTGCAGGTCCTGCTGTCTATAATAGACAGAAGGAAGTGTACGTTTGCAGCAAGGACCAGTGCAGCGGCATGCATCCCCGTTGCTGCTGCTGCTGCTGCTGCAGCAATGCATGCGCTGCAGCTGCTGCTGCGCCTCCCCAACTAAGGCATCAATAAGACCTACTAGTGCCTTAATAGACAGCATAGCTGCCTTTCTTTGGGCCTTCCTCCCTACCTGCTGCTGCTGCTGTTCCTGCTGCTGCTGCTGCTGCTGCTGCTTCTGCTGCTGCTTCTGCTGCTGCTGCTGCTTCTGCGGATTGTGTGCAGGGGCAGTAAGCATATGGAACTGAGCAAGGGTGGCTAGCTTGGCTAGCTGCTGCAGCGGGATAGACAGTCTCCCTGCTGAGGAGAAAAGAGACACTGTTGCTGCTGCTGCTGCTGCTGCTGCTGCTGCTGCAGGAGCAGCAGGAGCAGGAGCAGCAGAAGGAGCAGCAGACAATGATATGCTGCAGCAATCTGATGTACAGTTCAAGTTCAGCAGCATACCCCTATAGTCCGCCACCGGCTGCATCGGCCTGCTGCTGCTGCTGCTGCTGCTGCTGATGCTGCTGCTCGTGTTTCTTGGGCTGCTGCTGCTGCTGCTGTTGGTTGGGCTGCTGCTGCTGCTGCTGCTTGGGCTGTCATCAATAGAGGGGACAGTACTGTCTGATTGGGGTGTCTCCTCTGCTGCAGCTCTTTTCATGCTGCAGGGACAGGATTGCTGCTGCTGCTGCAGTTGCAGTTGCTGCTGCTGCTGCTGCTGCTGCTGCTTCTGCCACGTCCTCCACCAGGCGTCAAACAGAGGCAGCATCAAAGAAAATTCTCCTGCTGCTGCAGCAAGCAGCACAGGCTGCTGCTGCAGTGCCCGCAGCTGCGGCGGCAGCAAATGCTGCGGCAGCGGTTGCTCTGTCGTTAAGCTAATAGTTGGGGTGTACGTACACCCCAGCAGCAGACCCTGTCTAGGTAACCATGCTAATGCTTCGTCTGCTGCTGCTGCTGCTGCTGCTGCTGCTGCGTCGTTGCTGCTGCGGCTTAGACGCAGCAGCACGCCGACCTGTCGAAGGCCTGATGATAGCGCCCTAGGGATGCTCCATAAACCCCACTTGCTGCTGCTGCTGCTGCTGCTGCTGCTGTTGCTGCGAGCAGCAACTACCTGCTGCTGCTGTTGCTGTGACCCATCCTGCGGTCCTGCCAGCTCAAACAATGCCTGGCGCTGCAGCAGCAGCTGCTGCAGCTCCTCCGTGATGGGTAGCTGCTGCAGCAGCTCAAGGTCCTTTTGCTGCAGCAGCGGGCCGTCCCCTAGAGCAGCAATAGCAAGGTCTGCTGCTGCTCCCCGCTGCATGCCCCTCTCCTCCTTATTTGCCTTCTGTGCTGCTGCAGGAGCAGCAGCAACTGCAGCACCAGCAGCAGCAGCAGCTGCTGCTGGTGCTGCTGCTGCCTCAGCTTGTGGTTGAGCCATAAGGTCGGGCAAGGAAGGAGGGGTTACGTGCTGCAGTGTCTGCTGCTGCTGCACCTTCTGCTGCAGCAAATCCCTTTTGCTCCTGTTGCTGCAGCAAGCAGCAGTATATAAACAAATGGAACAAGAGAAGAGGGGCAAAGGGTACAGAGAGATGGTGCTGCTGCTGCTGCGGGGGACGGGGGTGGGCGGCAGGAGACGTTCAGCTGCTGCTGCTGCTGCTATTGCTGCTGCTGCTGCTGCTGTTGCTGCTGCTGCTGATTATTCCTCCCTTAAAAGAAGCAAAAAAACAGCAAAATCCAAGCCAATTGCTGCAGTTGTTGCTGCTATTGGTGGGGAGGGGCTTGGGGGGCCCCTCTCCCCCATCGACGCAGCAGCAGCAGCAGGAGCAGCAGCAGCAGCATTAGCAGCAGCTGCTGCTGCTCTAGCAGCAGCTCGAGATCTAGAGGGGGGTGTGCACATAAGTTGTCTTTTGTTTATCTTTGCCTTTTTTCTTTATATAGAAGATTTAATTATTTATTAATTATTTATTATTTGCTGCATGCTTGCTGCTGCTGCTGTTTCAGTAGTACTAGCAGCAGCAGCAGCAGCAGCAGCAGCAACACTGCACAGCAGCAGCTGTAGCAGCAGCAGCACGAACACCAACAGTAGCTGCAGCTGCAGCAGCTCCTACTCCTGCTGCTCCTCTTATATGACTAACTAAATTAGTTTGCTGCTGCAGTAAGGTGTATTTCTTTGCTGATGGTTGCTCCTATAGATAATTGCATGCAGCAGCAAGATGAGGACCCCGAGCTGCTGCTGCTGCAGCAGCAGCAGCAGCTGCTGCGCCAGATTCTGCAGCAACAGCAACAGGAAGAGGCGCAACATGAAGGAAAACTGCAGCAGCAACAGCAGGAACTGCTGCAGCATCATCCACCAGGGCTTCTGCAGCAGCAGCAGCAGCAACAGCTGCAACAGCAGCAGCAGCAGCACACTGTCTCTCCTGTAGGGGCCCTTCAGTGCGTGCTGCCAGCATCAACACGTTGGCACTGCAGCAACAGCAGCAGCAGCAACGCCTTAACAGGGGACTGCCTACTAGTAACGAAGTCGCTGCTGCTGCTGCTGCAGCTGCAGCAGGGGGCCCCCCTCTCTCTATTAGATTGTGGTACTAAGGCGAAGCCCTTAGCTGTATCCTGGGCCCTTACAGCAGCAGCAGCAGCAGCAGCAACAGCACCTGCAGCAGGAGCACCTACATCCCCTGGAGATGACGCTAGCAACAGCAACAGCGTCTCCAGCAGCAGCAGCAACAGCAGCAACAGCCACTGCAGCAGCAGCAGCAGCAGCAGCAGCAGCGGGTTTGTGGGGAGACGTGTGTGCCTTGGCTTTGAGTCCTTGGGGTGTCTGTTCATCACAACGCATGCAGATCGCAGCGTGCGGCTGTGGCGCATGCAGCAGCAGAACCTTAACCTGCTGCAGGTAGACCCCCAGCAGCAGCAGCAGCAACAGCAGCAACAGCAGCAGCAACAGCAGCAGCAGCAGCGCCGTATTAGTGGAGCAATGCCTCTTGCTGCTGCTGTATCGACGCATAGGCAGCACATAGGTGACCCCGAGGCCTTAGCGGTGTGTGGGGGCTGCTTGCTGCCAGCAACAGCAGCAGCAGCAGCAGGAACAGCAGCAGCAGCAGGAACAGCAGCAGCAGCAGCAGGAACAGCAGCAGCAACAGCAGCAGCAGCAGCAGAAGGGGGATTTTGGCTGCTGTGCGTTAGTGGAGACACACGAGGGAAGCTTGTCTTCTGGCAAGTAGAGGGGACTGTCTCCTGCAGCAGCAGCAGCAGCAGCAACTCTGCTGCTGCATGCAAACCGAAGCTGCATGCAGCAGCAGTGCAGCCGCTGCAGCAAAAGGTTGTTGAGCTTGCTATCCTCTCCTTAAGATGCAACGGCTGCAGCAGCAACAGCAGCAGCTGCTGCTGCTGTGCTGAACGAGCTCCGTGGCACTGCCATGCTGCTGCTGCTGCTGCAGCAGCAGCAGCAGCAACAGGAGCAGCAGCACATGAGAAAGGAAAACGGATGTCTCCTGCTGCTGCAGAGACACAGCAGCAGCAAAACTCTACAGATGATGAGGAGGAACCGGGAGAGATTAAAAGCAGCAGCAGCAGCAACAGCAGCAGCAGCAGCAGCAGCGGCAGCAACGGTGGCTGCTGCCGCATTCTTGCTGCAGTTGGCTATGAAGGAGGGGCCTTGCTGCTGCTGGATGTGCTGCAGCAGCAAGTGCTGCGCAGTCTAGGGAGACACCAGGATCGTATAACAAGTCTCTGCTTTATAAGGCCTTCTCTGCAGCAGCAGCAGCAGCAGCAGCAGCAGCAGCAGCAACTGCAGCAGCAGCAGCAGCAGCAGCAGCAGCAGGATGTATATGGGGAAGCGCATGCAGGAGCAGAAGCAGCAGCAGCAGCACAAGGATGGTTGTTAGCTTCTGCTTCCCGTAACCAGGAGCTGCTGCTGTGGCAGCTGTCTCCTGCTGCTGCTGCTGCTGCTGCTGCTGCTGCTGCTTCTGCGGGTGGTGTATTGTTGCAGATGCGTTTATCCACCACAGAGTCTGGCAGCAGCAGCAGCAGCAACAGTAAGGGTAGCAGCAAACAGCAGCAGCAGCAGCAGAACAGCAACAGGCTATGGCTGTCCCTATCATGGCATGCTGCTGCACCTAACTGTCTCCTTTTAGGTTCCTTATCTGGTGAGCTAATGTGTCTCCATCTGCAGCAGGCCTTATTGGATGCGCAGCAGCAGCAGCAGCAGCAGCAGCAGCAGCAGCAGTTGCTGCTTCTAGTGCCACAACCTAAGGGAAGCAAAAAGAAACGACCCCAACAGCAGCAGCAGCAGCAGCAACAGCATCTAACGAGGCTGCTGCAGCCACATACACGACCTATATTTTCTATTTGCTGCTTTGCTGCTGCTGTTGCTGCTGATGCTGGCAGCTACCCAACAGAGACAGCAGCAGCAGCAGCAGCAGCAGCAGCAGGGGATGCTGCTGCTGCTGCTTCTCCTTATTTGCTTATGCTTACTACCAGCTTAGATAGACAGCTGGTATTGTCAGCTCTCCCCCTACAGTCTCCTGCGGAGACAGCAGCAGCAGCAGCTGCTGCTGCTGCTGCTACTGCTGCTGCTCCGGCAGTAACTGATGCTGCAGCTGAAGGAACAGCAGCAGCAGCAACAGCAGCAGCCACAGCAACAGCAGCAGCAGCATTACCAGAAGATGTTTCTGACAGCAGCACACCACGAAGCCTAAAGGAGGCACAGACAGCAGCAGACGATGCAGCAGCAGCAGCAGCAGCAGCAGCACCTGCTGCTGCTGACACTACCTCTGGTGCTACAGCTGCAGCAGGAGCAGCAGCACCACCAGCAGCACCAGCAGCAGCAGCTGCAGCAGCAGCAGGAGGAAGAGGGGTGAATAAGAAAGCATGCATGCTATGGCAAATGGGGTGTCTTGGTGGTTGGGTACAATCCTTGTCTGTGTCTCCTTCTTATCCTGCTGCTGCTGCTGCTGCATGCGGAGACAGTACTATTCGTTGTACAGATGTATCTGCTGCTGCTGATCTGCTGCTGCAGCAACTGCAACCACAGCAGCAACTGCTGCCACTTGTAGACCCTTGTAGATATCTAGTGCGACCTACAGCAGCAGCAGCAGCAGCTGCTGCTGCTGCTGCTGATGGCGATGCTGCTGATGCAACGGGGAAATCGCTGCAGCAGCTGCAGCAGCAGCAGCAGCAGCAGAACCTGCTGCCTTTCCCTGTCGTGTTGCCACCTCTACCTCCCGCGAATCAGCCCCACGACCCAGATCAGCAGCAACAGCAACAGCAGCAGCAGCAGCAGCAGCAGCAGCGCCAGATTCAATTAGGGTTTACTAAACCTTTTCCTTCGCAAATGTATTGGAGGGATCTACATGCTGCTGTTACTGCGGTGTACGTACACCCCAATCTTGTTGGTCTTGTTGCATTTGGCTTAGCTGATGGACACTTTGGTGTGCTGCAGCAGCAGGATAGTCTGCTGCAGCTGCAGCAGCAACAGCAACAGCAGCAGCAGCAAAAGGCTGTCACCATGCTCTCCACCAGACAAGCACTTGTTGCTGCTGCTGCTGAACTATGCTGGTTGCGTATTCCTAATTGCTGCTGCAACAGCTGCAGCAGAAGGAACACTAGCAGCAGCAGCAGCAGCAGCAACAGCAGCAGCAGCAGCAGCAGCGACGGAGGTGTGACACAGGAACAACCCACTCCAGAAACCGATGGTCATCCTGAGCAGCAGCAGCAGCAGCAGCAGCAGCAACAGCAGCAGCAGCAGCAACAACAACAACTGAGATGGTTGCTGCTTGCAGCAACAGCAACAGGGCAAATACTTGCTGCTCAGCCAGCAGCAGCAACGCGAAATCCGCCGCAGCAGCAACAGCAGCAGCAGCAGTGGCGGCGGCAGGACCAGCAGCAGCAGCAGAAGCAGCAGCAAGAGGGGCAGAGTTTCTCCCCTATGGTCTTGACCTTGAAGGAAGGGGATGCAGCAGCAAACGCAGCAACAGCAGCAGCAACAACTGCTGCTGATGCTGCTGCTGTTGCTGCTGCTGCTGCTGCTGCTGCAGCAGCAGCAGATGAGCGAATTGCGCAGGTGGAGCCGCTCGCTGGTTTGCTGCCTTTTGCTGTGTCTGTGCCAGCAGGTCTTCCAGCAGCAGCAGCAGCAGCACTGCAGGAGCAAGTTGCTGCAGCAGCAGCAGCAATTGGCCATGAACCCGAGGCAGCCGTGGCTGCTGCTGCTGCTGCTACTGCAGCAGATGCTCAGCTGCTGTGTGTCCTTGAGTGGGCCCCCTTGCAGCAGCAGCAGCAGCAGAGCAAGCAGGTGCAAGTGTACCTACACGTCATGGCTCCTCTAGTGCCGCCGCATCGCAACAGCAGCAACAGCAGCAGCAGCAGCAGCACGAGGAGCAGCACAGCAGCAGCATCCCCTGTGTCCTTCGTCTCTCTTGGTCGTCTGCTGCTTCCTTTCAGCAGCAAACCAACGGCAGCAGCAGTATGGGAAGGCGACAGCAGCAGCAATGCTGCTGCTGCTGCATCTACAATGGGGGGTGCAGCAACTGCAGCAACAGCAGCAGCAGCAGCACGGGGAGCTAAAGAGTTCTCTGTAGCAGATGTGCTGCTTGCTGTAGGAGACACTGACGGGGGCCTATGGCTTGCTGCATGGGCAGATATGCTGTGTTTGCTGCTGCTGCTGCAGCAGCAGCAGCAGCAAGGGATGTCCCGTCGTGCTGCAGCAGAAGCAAGAACCCTCATGGAGCTTTGCTGCAGCAGCTACAGCAGCATTGCTGCTCATGCTGCAGCAGCAGCAGTCTTAGCGACACCAGCACTCAGTAGCACACCTCCTCCAGCTCCGCAGCAGCAGCAGCAACACAAGAGCAGCAGCAGCAGCAGCAACTGGGGTCTGACAAGCTTAGCTTGGGCAGTAAGATGGAGACAAGATGCAGCAGCAGCAGCAGCAGAGCAGCAGCAGCAGCCGCAGTTTCTTCTTGCTGCTACATGTGCTGGTGGTGCTGTTGCTGTTGTTGCAGTGAAATCTGCTGCTGATGCAGCAGCAGCAGCAGCAGTAGAGGAGAAAACAGACGCACATCCACAGCAGCAGCAGCAGCAGCAGCAGCAGAAGCAGCAGCAGAAGGGGCCCCTAGCGGTGCTGCAGCACCTACGGCGAATTAAGCCAACAGCAGCACCAGTTGCGTGTCTTCGTAGTTGCTCATCATCATCGTTAGAGCAGCAGCAGCAGCAGCAACAGCTGCAGCAGCAGCTGCAGAGCGGCGGGCAGCTGCTGCGCTGCTGCTGGGTAGAGCAGTTTGTCCCCTATGCAGTGCTGCTGCTAATTGGTAAGCTGTACATACTTGCTGCTGCTGCTGTTGTTGTTGCTGTTGTTGCTGCTGCTCCTGGTGCTGCTGCAGCAAGTGTTTGCTGCAGGTAGTGCAGCAGCAGCAGCAGCAGACTGCATTGGGGTGTACAGATGAAGGGAACTACTAACGGACTGTTTTGTGTTTGCTACTGCTTCTGCTGCTATTCTTGCTGCTGCTGCTGTTGCTGCTGCTGCTGCTGCTGCTGCTGCAGGTGGTGTAGAGCAGTGTGTCTTTTTGTGGGATCCCTTCCGGTTGCCCCTGTACCCTCCCCTCAGCAGCAAGACAACAACAGCAGCAGCAGCAGCAGCAGCAAAGGGGACACAAGGGAAAGCTGCAGCGCAGCAGCAACAGGATAAAGGGCGTCAACAGGCAGCAAGCAGCGACGTGCCTGCAGGGACACAAGCAACAGCAGCAACAACAGCAGCAGCAACAACAACTGCAGCAGCAGCAACAGCAACTGCAGCAGCAGCAGCAGCAGATGCGGAGACGTCTGCCTCCTCTATACAGAGCCCAATTGGAGACAGCGCAAGTGCTACAGCAGCAACAGCAACGCCAACAGCAGACACATCTGCTGCTGCTGCTGCTGCTGCTCCTGCGGTTGCTGCTCCTGCTGCTTCCCTGAAGGAGAGCTGTTGCAGCTGCGGGGGTTCTTCCCAGGAGCAGCAGCAGCTGCTGCTGCAGCTGCTGCAGCAGCAATGCAGCAGCATCAGGGCTGACAAGTTCAGTGATGCAGCAGTAGAGGCAGCAACAGAGTATGTAACGAATCAGCTGCTGCAGCAGCACATGCCGCAGCAGCAGCAGCAGCAGCAGCAGCAGCAAAATACTTTGCTGCTGCTGTTCTTATTAGGTGACCAAGGAAGAGATGCTCGTGCTGCTGCTGAATCATCTCTTACTAATATCTTCCAGTCCTTAACACAGGTACTTGCATGCAGCAGCAGCAGCAGCAGCAGCAGCAACAGCAGCAGCAGCAGCAGCAACAGAGAGAGCAGCACTGTAGCACATGGTACTCAAGAACACTCTATTGCTGCTTCATTTGTATGTTATTCTTTTGCTGCTGCTGCTGCTGCTGCTGCTGCAGGTGGCACAAAAAGGTGCCGTAGTTACAACACGGGAATCCAGCAGCAGCAACAACAACAACAGCAGCAGCAGCAACAACAACAATAGCAGCAACAGCAACAGCAGCAGCAGGGATATGTGCTGCTGCTGCTGCAGATGGTTCTGGTTTGCTGTTGCTGCTGCTGCTGCTCTTAACCCAACAGAGCGTGTTGCTCTAGTAGGCAGCTTCCTTTCTTCGGACAGGTTAGTCTGCATGCACCTCTTGCTGCTGCTGCTGCTGCTGCTGCAGCTGCTGCTGCAGCTGTTTGCTGCTACTACCACTACTACTACTAGCGCATTTGCAATTGCTGCTGCTGCAGCAACAGCTACAACAACAACTACTGCTGCTGCAGCAACAACAACATCTGCTGTTGCTGCTGCTGCTGCTGTTTGTTGTGTATATAGGGGAAGTATATCTATACACATGCGTGCTGCGCTGCTGTTTGCTGCTGGTTTATTAAGAGAAGCAATTGAGGTGTACGTACACCCCAATTTATCCCCCTTTGTGCTGCTGCTGTCGCGGCTGCTGCTGCACCCTCAGCATCCGCTGCAGCAGCAAGCATTTAATGCTTGGATTGCTCAAGCTGATCAGCAGCAGCAGCAGCAGCAGCAACAGCAGCAGCAGCAGCAACAGCAGCAGCTGCGCGTTGGACGCTTGCTGCGGCTGGCGCTGCAGCTCGAGGAATGGACCGATAACACAACGTCATCTAGCTAGCTAGCTAGCTAGCTAACCAACTAGCTAGCTAGCTAGCTAGCTAACTAGCTAGCTAACTAGCTAGCTAACTAGCTAGCTATCTAGGTACCCTTAGCTATTTAGCTAACCAGTGTTGGCTAGTTACTTAGATACCCAACTAGCTAGCCAATTGGCTAGCCAGCTAGCTAGCTAGCTAGCTAGTAGTTGTTAACAAATATAATATGTTATTCTTTTTGTAGTTCTTTTATGGCCTTGTATAATGGGGCTTTTAGATGCATGCAGCAGCAGCAGCGCATGCATGCAGCAGCAACGACTAAATGCGTGCATGCATGCATGCATGCATGCATTGCTGCTCTTTGGGGCTTTGTTTTGTTGCCCTTTTTCTTCTTTTGTTTTTTGTCTTTTGTTTCTCTTAACTATAACTTGCTGTTTATATTTAATAGTAAATAAACTATAACAGCAGCAGCAGCAGCAGCAGCAGCAGCAGCAGCATGCAGCATGCAGCAGTAGCAAACTAGACTGACTCCCTACCCAATGTGGACAAGCGGCTGCTGCAGCAGCAGCTGCTGCTACTGCTGCTGTATCTACTAATGGGCTTATAGTGTGCGGGTGTTTGTTGCTAGTTGGGGGATCTGTTTGCTGCTGTTGCTGCTGCTGCTGCTTGCTGCAGCCTTTGTATTAGCAGCAACAGTTAGATCTGCTTCTGCTGCAGATGTTAATAATAATAGCTGCATGCACCCGGGTGTATAGGCAGGTATTTGCATGCATGCAGCTAATAAAATATGTATAAACAGCAGCAGCAAAGCTTTGCATGCACGAGCTGCCTGTACACCTGAGAGTTACTGCCTTTTTTCTAGTGTTGTTCTAACAGCAGCGCGAGCCTGCTGCTGCTACTGCTGCTGCTATTGCTGCTGCTGCTGTTGCTGCTGCTCGCCAGCAGCAAACTAGACGCAGCAAAGTATAACAATAAAGAATTAATGAATTAATAAATAAGAGATAAAATAGTTAATTAAATAAATAAAAAAACAATAAAAATATAATTAATTGCTGCTGCTGGTGCTGCTGCATGCATGCATAAAGGGGGGAGAGAGGAGCACGACGGGGTCCTTCCTGTACGGTGTGCGCGGTGCGTATATACAGGGTGTCTATACACCTGAATAAAAAAAGAATAAAAAGAATAAATAAATAAATAATAAATAAAATAAATAAAATATAAATATAAATAAATAAAATAAATAAAAAAAATAAAGAAAAAAAGTAAATAATAATAATATACATATATATAAATATATACAGCGAGCTCCCCCGAGACTGCTGCTGCTGCTGCTGCTGCTGTATTTGCTGCTGCTGCTGCTGCTGCTGCTGCATGTACGCGATGGCTGCTGCTGCTGCTGCTGCTGCTGCTGCTGCTGCTGCTGCTGCTGCTGTATATAAGATAAACAGCAGCAGCGAGGCCTGTTGTGTTGTAAGAGAATAAAAGTTTTATTTTTCTTTTTTTTTATTTCTTTTATTTTTCTTTTTATTTATTATTTATATATAAATACCTATATATACTGAGCAGCAGCAGGGTTGATTTTTCTGCTGCTGCTGCTGCTGCTGCTGCTGCTGCTGTTGTTGTTGTTGTTGTTGCTGTTGTTGTTGTTTGTCGGCCTCTGCAGCAGCAGCAACAGCAGCAGCGCGGGGCTCCCTCCTCAGTATTATTTATTTATTTTTTTTTTTTTTTTTTTTTTTTTTTTTTTTTTA